GCTATGCATGTATACTGCTGCTCGCTGGATCATGTCTAAAAGTCTGAAAACAGCATGGGAGATGGTATGCATGTATACTGCTGCTCGCTGGATCATGTCTAACAGTCTGAAAACAGCATGGGAGATGCTATGCATGTATACTGCTGTTCGCTGGATCATGTCTAACAGTCTGAAAACAGCATGGGAGATGCTATGCATGTATACTGCTGCTCGCTGGATCATGTCTAACAGTCTGAAAACAGCATGGGAGATGGTATGCATGTATACTGCTGCTCGCTGGATCATGTCTAACAGTCTGAAAACAGCATGGGAGATGGTATGCATGTATACTGCTGCTCGCTGGATCATGTCTAACAGTCTGAAAACAGCATGGGAGATGGTATGCATGTATACTGCTGCTCGCTGGATCATGTCTAACAGTCTGAAAACACCATGGGAGATGCTATGCATGTATACTGCTGCTCGCTGGATCATGTCTAACAGTCTGAAAACAGCATGGGAGATGGTATGCATGTATACTGCTGCTCGCTGGATCATGTCTAACAGTCTGAAAACAGCATGGGAGATGGTATGCATGTATACTGCTGCTCGCTGGATCATGTCTAACAGTCTGAAAACAGCATGGGAGATGGTATGCATGTATACTGCTGCTCGCTGGATCATGTCTAACAGTCTGAAAACAGCATGGGAGATGGTATGCATGTATACTGCTGCTCGCTGGATCATGTCTAACAGTCTGAAAACACCATGGGAGATGGTATGCATGTATACTGCTGCTCGCTGGATCATGTCTAACAGTCTGAAAACAGCATGGGAGATGGTATGCATGTATACTGCTGCTCGTTGGATCATGTCTAACAGTCTGAAATCAGCATGGGAGATGGTATGCATGTATACTGCTGCTCGCTGGATCATGTCTAACAGTCTGAAAACAGCATGGGAGATGGTATGCATGTATACTGCTGCTCGCTGGATCATGTCTAACAGTCTGAAAACAGCATGGGAGATGGTATGCATGTATACTGCTGCTCGCTGGATCATGTCTAACAGTCTGAAAACAGCATGGGAGATGCTATGCATGTATACTGCTGCTCGCTGGATCATGTCTAACAGTCTGAAAACACCATGGGAGATGGTATGCATGTATACTGCTGCTCGCTGGATCATGTCTAACAGTCTGAAAACACCATGGGAGATGCTATGCATGTATACTGCTGCTCGCTGGATCATGTCTAACAGTCTGAAAACAGCATGGGAGATGGTATGCATGTATACTGCTGCTCGCTGGATCATGTCTAACAGTCTGAAAACAGCATGGGAGATGGTATGCATGTATACTGCTGCTCGCTGGATCATGTCTAACAGTCTGAAAACAGCATGGGAGATGGTATGCATGTATACTGCTGCTCGCTGGATCATGTCTAACAGTCTGAAAACAGCATGGGAGATGGTATGCATGTATACTGCTGCTCGCTGGATCATGTCTAACAGTCTGAAAACAGCATGGGAGATGGTATGCATGTATACTGCTGCTCGTTGGATCATGTCTAACAGTCTGAAATCAGCATGGGAGATGGTATGCATGTATACTGCTGCTCGCTGGATCATGTCTAACAGTCTGAAAACAGCATGGGAGATGGTATGCATGTATACTGCTGCTCGCTGGATCATGTCTAACAGTCTGAAAACAGCATGGGAGATGGTATGCATGTATACTGCTGCTCGCTGGATCATGTCTAACAGTCTGAAAACAGCATGGGAGATGCTATGCATGTATACTGCTGCTCGCTGGATCATGTCTAACAGTCTGAAAACACCATGGGAGATGCTATGCATGTATACTGCTGCTCGCTGGATCATGTCTAACAGTCTGAAAACAGCATGGGAGATGGTATGCATGTATACTGCTGCTCGCTGGATCATGTCTAACAGTCTGAAAACAGCATGGGAGATGGTATGCATGTATACTGCTGCTCGCTGGATCATGTCTAACAGTCTGAAAACAGCATGGGAGATGCTATGCATGTATACTGCTGCTCGCTGGATCATGTCTAAAAGTCTGAAAACAGCATGGGAGATGGTATGCATGTATACTGCTGCTCGCTGGATCATGTCTAACAGTCTGAAAACAGCATGGGAGATGCTATGCATGTATACTGCTGTTCGCTGGATCATGTCTAACAGTCTGAAAACAGCATGGGAGATGCTATGCATGTATACTGCTGCTCGCTGGATCATGTCTAACAGTCTGAAAACAGCATGGGAGATGGTATGCATGTATACTGCTGCTCGCTGGATCATGTCTAACAGTCTGAAAACAGCATGGGAGATGGTATGCATGTATACTGCTGCTCGCTGGATCATGTCTAACAGTCTGAAAACAGCATGGGAGATGGTATGCATGTATACTGCTGCTCGCTGGATCATGTCTAACAGTCTGAAAACACCATGGGAGATGCTATGCATGTATACTGCTGCTCGCTGGATCATGTCTAACAGTCTGAAAACAGCATGGGAGATGGTATGCATGTATACTGCTGCTCGCTGGATCATGTCTAACAGTCTGAAAACAGCATGGGAGATGGTATGCATGTATACTGCTGCTCGCTGGATCATGTCTAACAGTCTGAAAACAGCATGGGAGATGGTATGCATGTATACTGCTGCTCGCTGGATCATGTCTAACAGTCTGAAAACAGCATGGGAGATGGTATGCATGTATACTGCTGCTCGCTGGATCATGTCTAACAGTCTGAAAACACCATGGGAGATGGTATGCATGTATACTGCTGCTCGCTGGATCATGTCTAACAGTCTGAAAACAGCATGGGAGATGGTATGCATGTATACTGCTGCTCGTTGGATCATGTCTAACAGTCTGAAATCAGCATGGGAGATGGTATGCATGTATACTGCTGCTCGCTGGATCATGTCTAACAGTCTGAAAACAGCATGGGAGATGGTATGCATGTATACTGCTGCTCGCTGGATCATGTCTAACAGTCTGAAAACAGCATGGGAGATGGTATGCATGTATACTGCTGCTCGCTGGATCATGTCTAACAGTCTGAAAACAGCATGGGAGATGCTATGCATGTATACTGCTGCTCGCTGGATCATGTCTAACAGTCTGAAAACACCATGGGAGATGCTATGCATGTATACTGCTGCTCGCTGGATCATGTCTAACAGTCTGAAAACAGCATGGGAGATGGTATGCATGTATACTGCTGCTCGCTGGATCATGTCTAACAGTCTGAAAACAGCATGGGAGATGGTATGCATGTATACTGCTGCTCGCTGGATCATGTCTAACAGTCTGAAAACAGCATGGGAGATGGTATGCATGTATACTGCTGCTCGCTGGATCATGTCTAACAGTCTGAAAACAGCATGGGAGATGGTATGCATGTATACTGCTGCTCGCTGGATCATGTCTAACAGTCTGAAAACAGCATGGGAGATGGTATGCATGTATACTGCTGCTCGCTGGATCATGTCTAACAGTCTGAAAACAGCATGGGAGATGGTATGCATGTATACTGCTGCTCGCTGGATCATGTCTAACAGTCTGAAAACAGCATGGGAGATGCTATGCATGTATACTGCTGCTCGCTGGATCATGTCTAACAGTCTGAAAACAGCATGGGAGATGCTATGCATGTATACTGCTGCTCGCTGGATCATGTCTAACAGTCTGAAAACAGCATGGGAGATGCTATGCATGTATACTGCTGCTCGCTGGATCATGTCTAACAGTCTGAAAACAGCATGGGAGATGCTATGCATGTATACTGCTGCTCGCTGGATCATGTCTAAAAGTCTGAAAACAGCATGGGAGATGGTATGCATGTATACTGCTGCTCGCTGGATCATGTCTAACAGTCTGAAAACAGCATGGGAGATGCTATGCATGTATACTGCTGTTCGCTGGATCATGTCTAACAGTCTGAAAACAGCATGGGAGATGCTATGCATGTATACTGCTGCTCGCTGGATCATGTCTAACAGTCTGAAAACAGCATGGGAGATGGTATGCATGTATACTGCTGCTCGCTGGATCATGTCTAACAGTCTGAAAACAGCATGGGAGATGGTATGCATGTATACTGCTGCTCGCTGGATCATGTCTAACAGTCTGAAAACAGCATGGGAGATGGTATGCATGTATACTGCTGCTCGCTGGATCATGTCTAACAGTCTGAAAACAGCATGGGAGATGGTATGCATGTATACTGCTGCTCGCTGGATCATGTCTAACAGTCTGAAACAGCATGGGAGATGCTATGCATGTATACTGCTGCTCGCTGGATCATGTCTAACAGTCTGAAAACAGCATGGGAGATGGTATGCATGTATACTGCTGCTCGCTGGATCATGTCTAACAGTCTGAAAACAGCATGGGAGATGCTATGCATGTATACTGCTGCTCGCTGGATCATGTCTAACAGTCTGAAAACAGCATGGGAGATGGCATGCATGTATACTGCTGCTCGCTGGATCATATCTAACATTCTCAAAACAGCATGGGTGATGGTATGCATGTGCGAGTGTGAGCGTGCGTGGGCATGCGCACATATGGCCATGCATTAAGGAGAGAATGAATGGATGCCTTTTTGGGTGATACATGATGACAGAACTTATGTATGCGTGAATGTGTATAAGACACCAAACGCATGTCTTTATGTGTCCGTGTGTGAATGTGTCGGTGTACTAATGATTAGTAATTTGTCGAAACTTAAAGGTCAATTAATCAACTGATTGAATACCATAGATTCTATTCTACTATTGAGTCTGCTACAACCCTTCCCCCTCACCCCCCAACCCCCCCTCCCATCCCTCTCCCCCCTTCTTTCCCCCTTCACGTACCTGCCACTGCTGCTGTCTGCGTTTCAAGCTCTCATTAATCCTCCACATTTGCCATCTCCTCCTCTCCTCCACCTCCTCCCCAAACCCCCCAGTTCCCCTCCCTCTACCCCCTGCTTTCCTCTCCCATTTACCTGCCATTGTTGCTGTCTTCGCTTCAAGCTCTCATTGATCCTCCACAACTGCCATCTCCTCCTCTCCTCCACCTCCTCGGCTTCCTCCCTCGCTCCACCACGAACCGCGCCCCCCTCTTCTTCCTCCCCCCCATCCTCCTCCTCCCCCCCCTCCTCCTCCTCGCCCTTCGCCCCTTGCAACCCCGTCAGCCCTCGCCCTGCCACGCCCCGCTTCTCTCCACCAACACCACCAGCAGCAGCTAAAGCAGCTTTACTCTCTTCCCTCTCCCTCTCTTCCCTCTCGCTCTCCTCTCTCTCGCGCTTCGCCTTCACATCCGCCACCACTCTGTCAATTGCTTCAAGAACCTCCGGGGGGAAACTCAGCTGCAGCGACAAGTGAAGAGAAGGAGGAGAAGCAACAAGGAAAGAATCAGCCCCACATGTGACAAGGAGGGAGACCTATAGAGCACTTCACCCTGCTGCCCCTGCACCCGCCACCACTCTGTCAATCCCCCCAAGAAATACCGGGACGAAACTCAGCTGCAGCGCAGGGGCGAGTCGAGAAGACAAGTAGGACAGGCAAAGAGGAAACACTCGACCGACAGTACATGTGTGAAGGGAACTCACATGTCTGGAAGCCGAGAGGATTGGGGGAGGTAAACTGCACTACCCAGCCACTCCTAGAAGCACTTCACTGAGACATAACTCACAAAACTGGCACATACCGAAAAGCACCGTACTGCACCGCAGTGCGCAGCCCACTCTTCCAGTGTAAGACACAGCACTGAAACACATTGCACCGCACAGCACTGCTTTCTACTCCAGAGTATCAAGACCATGTCCCAACAGGCCACATTTAACCGCACTGCACCGCATCGCACCCACCTGTCGCTGCGGCCGCCGAGAGTCGAGCTCTGGGCGGTAGTGTGGCAGAGGGTCCTTGCTTAGGACGAGGGACTTGTTGTACATGCGACTGATGGGGGGGAGGGGGAGGGGAAAGAGGGGAGAGGAAGGGGGTACGGGGTGAAGCGGAGCATGTGTGTGAGTGAGGCACCTCAATAAAGGCAGAGGGTCGTTGCTGAGGACGAGGGACTTGTTGTACATGCGACTGATTGGGTGACAGGGGAGGGAAAGAGGGGAGAGGAAGGGGGTGCGGGGTGAAGAGGAGCATGTGTGTGAGTGAGCCACCTCGTGAGAGGCAGAAAGTCCTTGCTGAGGATGACAGACGAGTTGTGCATGCGACTGATGGGATGGAGCAGGGGGGGGAGATAGGGGAATGAGGAGTTGGGGAATTAGAGAATGTGTGTGAATGAGGCGCCTCATAAGAGGCAGAAAGTCCTTGGTGAGGACGAGAGACGAGTTGTACATGCATGTGACTGAATGGGGGGAGGGGGAAATGGGCGAGGTGGTAAGTGGGTGAGCGGGAAGTGAGAGTTCTGAGAGAGCAGAGGGCCCTTGCTGAGGAGGACGAAGGACTTGTTGTACATGTGACTGATGGGAGGACGAGGGGGGGGAGATGGGTTGGGAGATGAGGGGGGTGGGGCGAAAGGGGGAACAGGGGGAGGAGGAGAGTGCGTGAGAGTGAGGCGCCTCATAAGAGAACAGAGGGTTCTTTGCTGAGGACAAAAATGTCCTGCTCCTACAACCGACTCTACCAAGGCACTAAAAAAAAAAAATGCAGCAATCCTCTCGATTCCCTGCTCGTACAGCTGACTAGGCATGAGCAGACAACAAGAGGAGATCCCTGACTCCCTTTGCCCGTCGTCAGAACCGTCTCCCTAAACTTAAAACCCCTCATCCTAAGCGCCCGCCAACCCCAGAAACCGCAGCTTAAAACCCACTTGCCGCCCTAGTATCCAAAACACTTGAACCCTAACCCCAGACCCCACCTGCAAATGCAGAAATGAGGTGCGATTCTCTTGATGCCCTCCTCCTGCTCACATCTGAGTGAGAATTATCCAAAGCCGTCCTCCTTGCCCGTCAGCACCATCTCCCAACCTCTCAACCTACACCAACACTCCAAGACCCTGAGTCTAAAACCCAAAACCCGACCCTTAGTCCGGAACCTTTCAAAACCCCAAACCCAGGCTTCATACTACCGGCTATCCTTACCGGTCAGAGCCACCCCTTTCCACTTCAAACCTGAGCACTAACGTCCACCATACCCTAATATCCAGAACCATCTCACTCAACCTCAAACCTGAAAAAACCCCCTCCCACCCTCCCCTCCACCACCCTAAATCCTGACTCCTTAAACCCTAAACCCAGAGCTCACCTGTGAAGGCGGAATTGAGCAGCAATCCTTTTTATGTCCTGCTCGTAGCGCCGGCTCTCCTTGCCCGTGAGAACCATCTCCCTCCTCCCACTGTCGCCAGCAAACTGCGCCAGCTGCTGCTGCCACTCCTCATTAAACCTTAAACCCTCAACCCACCTGTGAAGGCGGAATTGAGCAGCAATCCTTTTTATGTCCTGCTCGTAGCGCCGGCTCTCCTTGCCCGTGAGAACCATCTCCCTCCTCCCACTGTCGCCAGCAAACAGCGCCAGCTGCTGCTGCCACTCCTCCTCCTTAAAGCCCGCGCTGGGCCCACCGGTGAACTGAGTGCTTTGCAGGGAGGAGGGCAGAGAGAAGCACAGCCAGAACATGGGTAAGGACAGGACAGGTCACGGGTACGGGTGGGGAAGCTGCTGTCACAAGCCCTCCCCCTTAAAGCCTGTCGTGGGTGCACCGGTGGTCTGAGTGCTTTGCAGGGAGGTGAGCAAACAAAAGCACAGCCAAACCACGGGTAAGGACAGGTCACAGGTCGGGGTGGGGGGAGATGCTCTGGATATTTCTCCTCCTCCTTAAATCCCGCGCTGGGTGCACCGGTGGTCTGATCTGAGTGCTTTGCAGGGAGGAGGGCAGAGAGAAGCACAGCCAATCACGAGTAAGGACAGGCCACAGAAAGTGGTGGGGGACGCTGCTTCTATCTCTCCTCCTCCTTAAAGCCTGTGCTGGGCCCACTGGTGGTCTGAGTGCTTTGCAGGGAGGGAGGCGGGCAGATGGAGAAATCAAGAGGGGCTTATTTACTATGGTTGACAGGCATCAGCAACGTATTGAACAGTTGCACGAACGAATACAAAAGGCACAAACAACCCTAACCTTTCCTCACCCTTCCCGACTTCCAAAGCTACCAATGTGGCAATGCCGTTTCCATCCTCACTCCTTCCCCTGCCTTCCCCCCCCTCTCTGCATCTACCTGTAACTACCAGCCGCTTCTCTCATTGAATCAACTCCCTTGTGTAGAAAGCGTAGTTTTGAGACGTCTCAAAACTACACTTTCTACACGTGCATCTACCTGTAACTGCCTGCCGCTTCTCTCATTGAATCAGATCTCTTGTGTCTACCTGTGAGCCATCAGTAGCCTCTGCCACTGCGACAGCCGCACTCCCAGCTCGCGAGCTTGCCGCCCTGCCGGCATCTGTAGCGGCAGCTGTAGCTACAGATCGCGGCTTAATTGCTGCGTCAGCCTTTTGGATTTTCGCCTTAAGCACCCCCGTGCCCACTCCTTTCGCTATAGTCACTTCCTTAGTCACTGCTTTCGGCCTCAAAGCACCTAACTCAACACCCAGCTGCCTAGCGGCGGGGGAGTGAGGGGGGGCGCGGGGGGAGGGGCGGGGGGCGGGGCGGTGGGCGGAACGGGCAGCGGAACTCGAAGGGCCAGCGGCCCCGCTGGGGCCAGCACTGGGGGCGGAGAAGCGGGGGACGGCGCCAGATCCGCGGAAACTGGGCGCGGGTGGGGGGAGAGCTGCGGGTTTCGCCTTCCCGCGCGCTGGGGGACGCGGAAGCAGCTTATGCGGACCATGCTTGGGCAGGTGCAGTTTAAATCCCCTATCCGGCCGTACTGACGACCCCGAACCTCCTCCCGCTCTGCCTGCCGCTGCTGATGATCCCGAGGTTACTGCTGAGTGCAATAACGATGACCTGACGGCAGGCGAACCGATCCTGTTAACGGGTGGTGCTACTAACGCGGACAGCGCGAATGGCGGGCGGAATAGACCGGATTTGGCGAGTTGGACGAGGGAGGATGAGGAAAACGCGGATCCGTAGGAGGTCAGGAGCCGTTGATGGTATGCGATGTGACTAAATCGAATGAGGGGATCCTTGGCCATTTGACTGGCGCGGGAAGCGAGGATCGCGAGAGCGGAGCTCGGCGCGCTGTGAGGAATACGGGAGGGTAAAGCCGAGGCGCTACCAACGGGACGTCTTGTAACGGGTACATGTGAGAACGTCGATCGCGCGACGATCGGTTTGGAGAAAAGACGGTTCAGAGCGCCCACGACGTGACAGACACTGGATCGGCCATTCGCTTGTCTAGGAGTTGCTGCAAATGACGCAGCCGTCGCCGCCGCCGCTGCCGCTGCCGCCGCAGCAGCACTTACAGCGGGTATTGGGCCAATCGCGTTACTGAGCTGTGATTTGGCGACACCCTGCGACCCGGCGAAACTGTCATAGGGTAATCTGACGTCGTCGGTAACTACGCTCGGCGAAGAGCAACTCGAATTACGATGCATTTCGCGGGTTTCGCCAGCCGTGGCGAAACCTGCCTCGGCGTGGTAACCAGACCCCACTGCCATGCCTGACTCTAGCTATACTGCTGGAGTGTCAGTGCGCGTCGCGAATTTACTCCCTAACGAGAAAAGAACGGATGGGGATGTAACCATGCCCAACCCCTAGGTCTCTCGTGCTATGTGCATCGAATGATAAGCGCTTTGAAACTGGAGACGAGACACTGAAAGCGGAGGCAAACAAGCATGGCCATACAAGCGAAGAGCAAATGTGTGAGGGGAACTTAGGACGTGGTGCAGTTCACCTGATCGGGTCGGATTGTTGTGGCTACTGCACGACTAGAGATTTCTAACGAGCCGCGCGATAAAGCAGACAATTGAGAAAGCAGCATGGACGAGCTTTCTTGACATCAACAAAGTCCCTTCCGAGGGTGATTTGGCGATACAGTGCGAAATAGTCTCAGATTCGAATTACAGAGTAGCACAGTCAAGTCGCAGATCTCAAGTTCCGATGTCGCAAAGGGGACTTTAGAGGAGGTTTGTTACTTTCGTGGACCTTCTTTCGCAGGTACCGATCACACCACACCCAAGCTGCCGATCGCAATCAACCGCAATTGATTGCGTGTGATCGAGGCGATCGATCGGGACTAATAGAAGCCCTGATCGCAATCTAGTGATTGCCCCTAATTGACTAAAAAACCCGTAGTACCTTCCAGGAATTGACTTATCGCCAGTGATCGTTGCTATCAGAGGCGAACTGCACCACGTTCCTATTGAAGGTTGAAAGATCTCGAATACGGATCGAGTCGCACAGCACGCGCAAGGGAATATCCGCTATAGATAGGAATATGACTACAGTAAAATCACTTGCAGTATCGGCTAGATGGCATTCTACAGATACAACGGAATTTAGGAAAACTTGGGACGAGAATGCATACGAGTTCTAAGGGAGGGAAGTGCATGTGCACGACGATGTTCAATTTCCCCCTCCCCAATTTGCCCTCTCCCCCCTGCTGTGCGCTTAGTCTGTCACAACGACGCACATATCACTCATCACCATCATCGCCCTTACTGTACCCACATTGGCTTTCCCCAGAGCTACCTCGTTCGGCCCCTTCAGCAGCGCTTCCATATGCACCCTCTCCTCCACTCCCTCCCCCCCTTCCCCCTCCCCCGCCTGCCCTCTCTCCCCTGCTGTGCTTTTGCCAATGGGCGCGACAACAGCAAAGTGCAAGGTGGAGAGAGAGGAGAAGTCTGCGGGAGAGAGAGAGGACTTGAGATGGGTGATGATGGCAGAGAGAGCGCGGCCAGGGACCTGAAGGGCCTTCTTGTGTGCCTGTGTGGGGGGTAAAAGGGGGGAGAGACGAGGCAGTAGGTGCAGAGAAAGATAGGGGCGCGAGAGATGAGCGAAGAGTGAAAGAGATAAGAGGGAACGAGGAATGGAACGACTGTGTTCATTCTACAAGGAGCCATGATGATGGAAGCTTATGTGGAAGAAGGAAAGAAGGAAGCAGGGAAGGTGTGGAAGGGAGAATAGGCAGATGCGGAAGAATGAGCAGAAGAAAAAAAACAGGAGAAAGAGGAGAGGAAAGAGAAGAAGAAAGAGGATAAGAAAGAGGAGTAGAAAGATTGAAAAAAACAAGCAGGGATAAAGGGCAGGGGAAAACAGAGGGAGAGGGGAGTACCTCCATGAAGAGAAGAGCCACAATGAGGGAACAACATCCTCCTCTGCCTCGAGCTGTAGCTGAAGATTTTGTTGGCAAGGGGGAAGGGAGGGAGAAATAAAGAGAACGACACATAAGGGGTTGATTTGAGATGACTTACAACAAGTAGCGATTCATACGAAAACAACATCGTCCTCCGCCTCGAGCTACAGCAAAAGACTCTGTTGGTGGGTGAAGGGAGGGCGGGGAGAACACAACACAGCACAGTAAGGTAGTATCCCTGGCTCGTGTCAATCTGCGGTTGATGTCAGACGCCAAACGCGCTTGACACGAGGTGGAGCTGCGCTCGCACGCGGCTCCAGCCTGGTGTCAATGTTGGGCACATTGGGCAACTTCCCGTGATCACATTGGTCGGTTTAGCTGATACCAGGAGGACTAGAACTCCCTGAGTTTTCCTTATTGAGCAGTTGACACCAACCAAGATTGAGACGAGCCCGAGATACGACCTAACATCTTAACACGAGATAGCACAGCCTAAGCATAACCGCTTCAATAGCATCCTCCTCTGCCTCGAGCTGTAGCTGAAGACTTTGTTGGTGGGTGAAGGAGGGTGAAGAGAGAAGAGAAGTGTTTGGCAGCCACTAAAGCGAAGAGACTAGGCTTGAAGTTCCATGGTCTTAACATCATCCTCCTCTGCCTCGAGCTGTGGCTGAAGGATCTGTTGGTCGGGAAGGGCGGTTGAAGAAAGAGCTGAGTTTAACACTAAGCGCATCAACCAAAGCACAAAGTCAGCACGAGCTGGCACGGTGTTTGCCCTAACATAGTCTAAACGCTAAGCGCAGCCCTCACCTTCTTCATCAAAAAGAGTAGTGCACGCTCAGCCTACTTGTCCGGGATTTCAGACTCCTCAAGAACCGAGCCCTAAACCATGTCTCACCTTGTTCATTGAAAAGAGTAGAGCCCGCTCAGACTTCTTAATCGGGTGCTTGAGCCAAATGCCAAGATCCTTCTCGGCAAATTCCTCCATGGGCAGCAGCACCCGCCTCTACCTCCTTGCCCTCAAGATCCGCTATCATCCTCTGCGCTCTCTCTCTGGAACTGCCTGCTGGGAGCAGCTTTGCTAGCGCTGTCCGCTGTGCTGGCGTGTAGATGTTTGGGGTTGAATCGAGCACTGATGCTGCTCCTCATGCTGCTCCCTTATCCTTATGTATTTCTCCACCCTGTTGTTTTCACCCCATCCCTCCTACTCCTTCTGCTACTCCCTCGCTCGTGGCTTCTGATTCAGTGTCCGCCTGTTGCTCCCCAATCTGCTTCCCACTCTCGCTGCTGCCGCCGCCGCCACTGCTACTGGTGTCATCCTGAGCAGTGATGACGCCCATGGTCTAGAAGCACGGCGTGCAGAAACAGATCGATAGGCCCGGAAGCCGAGGTTTGGAGAACGTGGCGGGAGATGAGGGTCTGGTGGAAGTAGGAAGGAAAGGGATGAGGGAGGGTGGGAAGGAGTGAGAAGGAAAAGGAGAGTCCAGTTTAGGGGAAAACTAGGGTGGGGAAGCCAGGGTTTGGAGAACATGCCGGGAGATGAGGGTGTGGAGGAAGGGGAGGAGGGGAAGAGGAATACTAAGGGCAAGCCATGGTGTGAGATGAGGGTCCAGGGGAAGGAAGTAGGCGAGGGAGAGGGTAAGGAGGAAACTAGAGTGTGGAGACGTGGCATGAGGGTGTTGTTCTCAAAAGCTACACCAACATGGCATGAGATGAGGTTTTAATGGATGGAGGAAAGCGAGGAAGAGAGGGAGAGGTGGGAGAGGAAGAGGCTAAAGGAGAAACTAGGGTTTTTTAAACATACTGGGAGATATGGGTTTTGGTGGAAGAACGAGACAGAGGGAGAATAATAACAGAAGAATAACACTAGGGGCTTGTAGTCGATCGGCGCAGTGGTGATGACATTCCACCAATCCATGGTGGGTCCTTGTCGTAACGACACGACATAACGAGTTTCGGCTGAGTCAGACGTGACGTAGTTGGCGTCGAAAAAAGCCTGGCGTAAAAAAATACATTCATTGTGAAAATCCACGATTGAACCGTCAGGCCACCCCGTTGACCCGGGTAAACTCACGGGGGACGTTGAGGCTTGAATGGATTGGGTGATATGATCGCCGAGTTGTCATTTTCAATGGTAACGCGACGGCGATCCTCGTGTGGTGATTCTGCCACTTGCATCTTTTCGGGGTGTGTCGTACCGCGGGTGCCACGCACTTTGTCACGTATGGCGCCCTCACTGGTGGCGGCTGAGCGCTGTCCCACACTCTCATGTCGGGACGGTGTTGCTGCTGCCGGTGCTGCTGGTGTTGCCTGCGTCTGTTTTTTTGTGGGATGGGTTGAGCAAAATAGAGGGATTTGCGCTCTGCCGTCAGCGTCACAATATCTAGTGTGCTTTCGTGCAGTTGCCGCATAAGCTCATCTAGGCACTCATGCGTGAGGTCGGCGAGGTTAATGTGCTCGTCTATGTCGAAGGACGCCGGCCGTTCTAGGTGCTAGGTGCAATTGTGACTGCACGTGCTTACAAGAGAGTGTGAGAGCAACGGCTCCTAGTACGCTGAGAGGCGTTTGCCCCTTCGAGTGAAAAAATCAGAAGTTGGAGAGTTGTTGGTTGCGGAAAAATGCGCGATCAAAAGGAAAGTAGCTTTGACAGGCAAGTGAAAAGGGTGCAAAATATGAAGTAAGCGATGATTTCACTAAGGTGTCAGAGTACAAATGCAAGCACATTTCGCGAGTATTTATAGCGAAAACAACAAACAATAAACTGGTGTCTGCGAGCTAGCTAGTGAAATGCTGGCAGAGAGGTTCCGGCTAGTCCCGAAGCATAGGCCGACTTGGCCAAGTCCAGCCGTGCGAGGTTCGCGAAATGGCGAACACTGTTGAGCGGTAATGGGTGAAGAAACAGTTGGTCTTGTACGCGTTGCCAAAGTGCGCAGTAAGGAAACCTGAAAAACGGTTCAGATTCGAGCTCTACGATATAAGTTTGAACTCTAACAATTTTTAAACAGTATAAGGGTGTCTCAAGAACGGAGTGCAACGGAATGTCTGTGATTAGCAAAGCAAGGGGTACAAATAGGAAACCCTAAATCTGTTGTACACACTAAAGAGCACCTCACTGTTGCCTACAACAAATAGCAACATTTGACACACCCCCATTGGCTAAGTGAGGAACATCAAAGCAAACAGGTCAACAAACGGTCACAAGACCAGTCAAAACAAGCAACAAGGCAAAGCTAAGGGTGGATCACGACGTCACCATGCATTCTGAGCACAAGCAAATGACCACAAGGCCAGTCCAAGAGGTTACATAAGTGCAAGTACAAGCAGAGCAAGGCTACGGCAGACGAGCAACATAGTCAACAAGCTCTAACTGCACACAGAACCGGTGGTGATCACCAGGCGCCAAGACCTTGGTGAAGAGGTCTGCAGTGTTGGCCTCCGAGGCCACAAAGTCCAGGCGCACCTGGCCACGACGCTGCAGCCCGCACAGGAGGAAGTACCGAACGTCTATGTGCTTCACCCTGGTCTCCAGTCGAGGCTCGCGACACAAGAGAATCATGGCCTTGTTGTCGGCGAACAAGGTCGGAGTAGTGCGAGGCCGCTCACCAAGGTCGACGAGCAAGAAGGTCAACCAGCGAAGCTCCTGGGCAGCCATAGCACCGGCGTAGATCTCTGCCTCTGCGCTGGACGAAGCCATAGACGACGACCGAGTGGACCTCCACGACACAGCCCCAGCTCCCAGACTGAAACAGTAACCCTGGGTCGAGCGCTGAGTCTCCATGTAGTCAGCGTAAGAAGAGTCACATAGGCCAGTCAACCCAACTGGCCGAGTCCCTCCAAGCACAAGCCCCATGCCTGATGTAGTCGCCACGTACTTCGCCACTCGCACGGCAACCGTCTAGTGAACAGGACGGTGCCTCCCAGTCCAACAAAGCGAGAGATGACGCTAAGAGGGTAGGCGAGGTCCGGGCGAGTGCAGGTCATCAGGCACATGAGGCAGCCAATAAGCTTGTTGTAGACCACAGACTCACCGACCCCTTTCCCGACAAGCCCTTTGAGCCTAGTGGCCCTAGGTCACGAAGCGTGGAGTGAAGAGTGTCGTGCCACTCACGCGGTGACTGGCGGAGACCGTAGACTGGTCGCCTCAGGCTCCACTGGGTCCTAGGAGGGAAAGTACCAGTGAACCCAAGAGGACGTCGCAGCCAGATCTCCTCGTGCACTCGTCCCTAGAGGAAGGCAGTGGAGAAGTTGAGAGAGTGGAGCTCGTAGTCTCGCTGTGCTGCTACGTGGAGTAACACCCGAAGTGTAGTCATCTTCGGGGTCGGAGCGAAGGTCTGAAAGAAGTCAACTCCCTCGCGCTGACCGAATCCTCTCGCCACATAGCGCCCCTTGAACACCGGTGGTGATCCAGGCGGTCGCTTCACCTTGAAGAGCCACATGCCATCGACTACGTTCGCATGGGGAGGGGGAACTGCGTCAACGTATGTGCCTGTGGATCTCCAAGACGCCAACTCTGAGTCCATGGCCACCTTCCACTGAGAGGCTCATGGCCCTGACACTGCCTTACGGTACGTGCGAGGAGTCGGTATGTCAAGGGTGTCGGGGTCTCTCTCAGGGGAAAGCAGCATGGCACAGAGAGAGGGAGAAGCGGCCGCCAGGTACTCCAGCTCAGAGTGCCTGTCCTCTAGGACGTCACAACCAAGGGCAAACTCACCCCCGACGGACAGAGGACGGGTAGGCGGAGCGGGCACCACACAAGTGCTTTAGTCAAGGCGGCTGGCGTCTGCAAAGTCAGCGACAGCGGCAGTGAGAGCTGAGACAGACGACGGAGAGAAACACCAGGGTCGGTGACACCAGTGGCTAGAACGTGGGAGACAACAGGGCGAACAGCACGGTACTAGTCGGAGATAGGAGTAGGGGAGACAGGAAGAGAAGACGGAGGAGGAGACGGGAGAACGGACACCGGAGGAGGAGAACGACGAAGAGAAGTACAAAGGAGGGCATGCTGCTGCTGCTGCTGTTGCCGCCGCTGCTGCTGCTGCTGCTCCAGCAGGTCCAACAGCCGCAACTCCTGCCGCTCCCGCTCCAACCGCTCCTGCTCCTCGCGCGCACGCTGGCAGGCCACCTGGTAACGCGTGTCGTGGCGGTGGGGAGGTGGAGTGCTCTCCGCAGACGTAGTGCCCCCAGCTCCAGTCTCCTCAGAACAGCACCCCTAGAGGGGGTACCACCAGGGTCAGGGTCCCCAACTCCAGCGCCCCCTGTTCGAGCACCTGCAGTGCCAGGACCTCTAGTGCCAGCACCCCCAGAACTAGCTCCTCCAGTGTCAGTACCTCCAGCCCCAGCATCTCCAGCGCCAGCACCCCCCGACCCGACACCTCCAGTGCCAGTTCCTCTAGTCCCAGCACCCCGCGAACGAGCACCCCCAGACCGAGCACCTCCAGGGGCAACACCACCAGCGCCAACACCCCCCGAGTCCACAGCCACCTGTCGAAGAAGTGCCGGTGGCTGCTGGGGGGACTGTGTGGGAGAGGGGTAGCGTGAGACACACCTGACGGGGTCGGACCAGAAGGGGGGCGGGGGTACCGGAGGAGCGGGAGCAGGAGGAGGAGCGGGTGCAAGGAAAAGGGGGGGGGGGGGGGGGGGGGGGGGACCGAGAGACCTCTACAGGGGTAGCGAGCGTAGTTGGAAACGGACTCGATGAACCGGACGTAACGGGAGTCTAGGAACTGGTGGAGAGGCGGGTGGTAAAAGGACCAGTCGGCGGAGGCTACTGGGAAACCAAGGAAGACACAGGGGACGGCGCGAGCCGAGAGCTTGTCCGCAGAGGTGTCGCGGACAAGCGCAAGGCAGCCCCAGACACGAAAGGTTGACCCAACACCAGGGGACCCGGTCCAAAGACTGGTCGGTGAAGCCTCTCGCCGTGAGATGCGCGGCTAGAGGTTCAGCTGGTGAGCGGCGAAGCGAACCGCGTAGGGCCACAGAAAATGGGGCGCATGGGCATGAATCATGGACGTGCGGGCGATGTCCATGACCAAGCCAATGCGGCGCTTAGCAACCCCATTCTGCTTTGGGGACTCCGGCAGTGGCCAGGACTGTACGATGCCCTACTCGCCGCAAAATCCGGCAAGAATGCCTGAGCGAAACTCACCCCCACGGTTGGAGTGGAGACAGGAGACACGACAGCCACGAGTGCCCTCAATGGCTAGAAGCCACCGGATCAACGTAGAATTCACCTCGGACTTCTTCGCGAGAGGATACACCGTGGTGTACCTGGAGAAGTCATCTACGACCACCAGAAAGCAGCGCTCCCTCTCAAATCCCTGCATAGGTGCAGGGCCCCAGA